AATAGATCCCTGAGCCTGAGGGTATGATAAACATCTCCCATTTAGTGCTGCAAAGTCTTTCAGAGAGCTGTGAGTCTCTCTGCTAATCCCCATCCACTGCTAGAATCTTCTCTGATGAGGATTGGGGTTGAGCAATGTACTGATCTGTGGGTACAGCAGTGTGTCTTTAGTAGTCATTTTATTGCTATGTTCATTAAGCAGAATAATGGGCTGTTTTACCCTAGGGCCCATGACCTAGCAAATCTCAGGTCAAGCGCAGCTTAGTATGAGCATAGGTTTGTACCTGAATGGTGGGGTGAGAGAAGAAGGACTGGTCCTTGAAGGCCTTCCCTCCAACGGTTTGCCACACCTCCCATACCAGTTAGAATACCGCAGTCAGCAGAGAGTCTTTGTCAACTTCACTCTGGTGCCTGTGCCCTTCACCTGGCCCCGATCCAGAGCAAGCACACACACACCCTGCAGGTGGAAGACCCATCAGGCACGGAGGAGGGTGGGGAGCGACTGTAGGGGCCCTGCGCTAAACCTGGGTGGGACCAGGCCTGCCTGGGAGGAGGCAGTGTGCTGAGTCCTGGAGCGGTGAAGCCGGCCTGGGTGGGGCAGGGCCTCCGGGGAAGGACCGGAGAGCTAAGCCTCGATAGGGCGGGGCCTGCCTTGGAGGGGTGCTCAGCCTAGGGGGCGGGGTCTGAAGGGGGCAGGGGTGCTGAGCTTGGGTGACTGGGGGCGGGGTAACGAGCCTGGGAGAGGAGGAGGTGCTGAGCATAGAAGAGGAGGAGCAATGAGTCTGATCCGGTGAGGCTCTGACTACAGAAGAGAGGGACCTAGCTGGAACCGCAGGAGCTGAGTCTGTCTAGTGCACAGCTGTTCAGAGTCTACTGGGTGGAAGCCGCAGGACCAACTATGGGCGGGTAGGGGCAGGAGTGCAGAGCTCGGAGTCCACACTCGAGAGGCTCTTGGGACCCCCAGGTCCAAGGCCTTTCAACTACTGGAAAATGCTGGCCATGCATCTGGTTTCTTCGTCCACTTGGAGGAAGGACGAGCTCTGGTCTAGGACCTGCAATGTGGGTTGAGTTCAGGCTCTGACACTGGCATTGGCCAAGCTGCCGTAGGAGGAGGTACAGTGTACAAGGTCGCTGTGAACACCCATTGTCAAGGAACTGGAGAGATGACTCAACCCTTAAGAGTGCCCGCTGCTCTTGCAAGGATGCGGGTGACTTATGATCCTCTGTAACTACAGTTTCCCAGGGGATCTGATGCTCTCATCTGGCTTTTGTGGACACCAAGCGTGCACGTGGTGCACAGTCATGCATATAACGTGAAATAAATCTTATTTAGTTTTTTATTTTATTATTTTTTATGCATAAGAGTATTTTGCCTGAACGTGCATCACATGTGTGCCTGGTGCCCACAGAAGCCAAAAGAGGAAATCAGATCCTCTAGAACCGGAGTTACAGACAGTTGTGAGGGATCATGCGGGTGCTTTGAAACTAACCTGGGTCCTTTGCAAGAGCATCCAGTTCTCAACCTCTGAGCCATCTCTCCAGCCCCAAATAAATATTTTTTAAAAAATAAAAATTAGCCGACCGGTGGTGGCGCACGCCTTTAATCCCAGCACTCGGGAGGCAGAGGCAGGCAGATCTCTGTGAGTTCGAGGCCAGCCTGG